CCTTCATTTGTAATATATAATATTATATCAGTGTGCTGAACTTTAAATGGAGAAACACTTTTATGGTCTGTTGTATATTTAGACGCTTCTCCATGAACGTCCGCTGCATTTCTACAGTGGTTTTGGCACTGATGAGAGGGACTTTCAGAAAGGGTTTTCTATCAAAGCTTTATGAGCAAAAGTGTATTTCATTTTAATGTAAAATGTGCTTGTTTCAATTGTCACGCCGATCTTTATGGCTGCATATTTTTGGACAATTAATAAAATGAAAACGACTCTTTCCATGTGATGTCTTTGAGGTTTGTGAAGTCTTTATTTACAATACACACTAGTATTTGTAAAGCACTTGTCATAATACATACAGATATGAACATTTTGGTCGATAACAAATAGTTTTTTATATATATATTAGGGTTGTGCAAAAGTTAATTGCGATTAATCGCATCCAAAATAAAAGTCTGTGTTTACATAATATATTTGTGTGTGCTGTATATAATTATTTTGTATATATAAATACCTATGCATGCATGTATATATTTAAGAATTATTTGCGCTTAAATTCTGTATATATTTATAAATACATAATCTATATTATATAAATATAAATAATTTATATATGAATAACACATTTTCTTCAATATATACATGCATGTGTGTGTATTTATATATATAAAATAATTATATACAGCACACAAATATATTATGTAAACACAGACTTTTATTTTGGATGCGATTAATCGCAATTAATTTTTGCACAGCCCTAATATATATTTGAAAGCCGATAAACGATATATTGGTCGATAAATCTACAGTAAATCCAAAGTTTTGTCATTTTTGATTACAAAAACAAAAGTCTCACCATTAAAATCCATGTCCTAATGATGTTATAATTTTAATTGTATGTAGCCTATATGACAGATCAGTAATTCATAAACATCATGACGAGCAGTGTGCATCTAAAGTGTTTCAGCAGAAGGAAATAATGCATTTATCACCTTTAAAATATCGATAGCGATAGCATTATAAATGAACATGCATTAGCTAATACCAATATGGTGGCCATACCCATATATAATTGTCATAATTGTTTCAAAACAACTTTTACAGGAAGGTGGACAAAGATAAATATGAAGAATATGTTTAAGGGAAAAAAAGGTACTAGACCCATCTTATTTTGGAAGGTACATATTTAAATAACAATAATAATGGTATTAAATAACATTTTTGTTTGACTTATTTTTATTTTTTTTAATGATTCAAAAAAATATATATGAAAAAAAATATTTAAAAAATATAAAAATTATTTAAAAATATTAAAAAATATATATAGTCAAAACAGGTTCTGAATTATTAAGATAATGATTGTAAATGTACACTTTATAATGCCCAGTGATGCGCTTGCCTGCAGTTCTCCAAAACTCCACTAGGCGGCAGTAACAGCGCAGGTCTCAGCGACGCGTCACTGTTGCTTTCCACCAATAGGGGGCGCAACATCGCTGTGAACTTTATAACGTGCATGGAGTTGCAAGTACATTACTGATTTAACAATTATATATATATATATATATATATATATATATATATATATATATAGTTTGAGAACTATATTTAGTCTACATTAAAGAAATAGAGTTTAACATTTAAATGATATATTAAAATGTAAAAGAAAAGCGGAGTGAGAGTGCTGAGTGATGTAGTGTGTGTTTACAACAGTAATACTAGTGAGTGACAATGCTTTCTCTTCTCTTTTCTCTCACATCCCGCCTTTGTGCCCGCCCTCCCCCTCAGAGGTCAGCTGACAGGTCAAGGGTCACACACCATTTCATTTAAACCTCTCGGACACGGGTTGGGTCAGAGGGGGCGTGGCTTCTGCCGAGGGGGCGGGGTCATTTGGGAAAGTGCCGGCAGTCCTGTCCAATGAGAGAGCTCTTAGAGTTCCTGCCGGATCTTCTTTCGCCGTGTCGTGGGAATCACATATTGATTTGATCCCTTATTGATCAGATCTGATGTATTAGCATATTAGCAGTTTCTGTTTGAATAATGAGATGCATGCTTTTTATTACCCAATACGCAGATATCTGTGTTCATCAGATGTGTGTGTGACGCAGGAACAAACTACAGATGCAGCACAATATTTTATGTTTTTATTGTGATTTTCTATTAATTTTATTATTATTACATGTAGATTGGTTTGTTTGTAATATTATTATTTATAATTATTGAGATTATATTTTGTCAATTACAATTACAGGTGTAGCTTTAGATCTAAATAAGCATTTAGCTCATTTCTTTGGCTCATGTGTTCTGTTTATGAGCTCATAATTACTGAAAGACTAAATGAAATATGTCTATTTGACCCATTTAATGTTAGAAATCTGTAACTTTAAAAGATCAAACTTTATATTAGGGTCCAATTTTCACTATGAACTACAATATATAAACTCCTAATAGTTATTAAGGTGGTTGTTCAGGATTAAGAGATGCAGAATCAGGCATTAATGTGTGCGTTATATAGGTAAACATTAGTAATACGCATGCTGATGAGCAACTTTAGAGAGAACTGGACCTGAAACTGTTGGTGACTGTGGGAAACTCTCTTCTCCTGATGTTCCCTTAACCGACTCATTGTCCTTCCAGGGCTTTAGTCAGAGCCGAACTATTGTCCGGCCGGCCGAGGGGCTGCAGGGGTCAGAGGTCAGAGGTCACACTTCTGCTCGACTCTCCACCTGATCGATATTCTCTCTTCAGTCTGCAGCTGTCGCACACTGACATCGATACCGGCTGATCTGTGTGTGTGTGAGAGAGAGAGAGAGAGAGAGAGAGAGAGAGAGAGAGAGACCAGAGAGAGGGCCAGTTGTAGCAGGAGTTTTGTCTGTCAGATGAAGAAAATTGACGATGATGAAGAAAAAAGATCCTCCAGGATTAGAGATGCACAGATTCGGACACTTGCTTCCATATGTTTATGATTGACAGAATTATTTTTTTTTAAATGTATGATATAAGGGTTCAAACTCGTATAGACCCCTCTTCCATTATATATATATATATCGATATCTAAATATATAATTGAACTTTATTCAGGCATATATATATATATATATATATATATATATATATATATATTAGGGCTGTCAAACGATTAATCGCGATTAATCACATCCAAAATAAAAGTTTGTGTTTACATAATATATGTGGGTGCACTGTGTATAATTATTTTGTATACACTGTATATAAATACACACATGCATGTATATTTAAAAAAATATTGTTTATTAGTTTTTATTTTATAAATTACTTTTTATAAATTATTATTAAATTTTTTATAATAATTAAAAAAACAATTTATTATTTATTTTTAAATCATTATTTTATATTATTTATATATAAAATAATTATATTTATATATAATATAAATTATATATATAAATCTATATACAGTAAACACATGAAAATATTTCTTAAATATATACAAGCATGTGTGTGTATTTATATATAAAATAATTATACACAGTGCACCCACATATATTATGTAAACACAAACTTTTATTTTGGATGCGATTATATATATAAATTATATATATATATATATATATATATATATATATATATATAAAGTTCAATAAAATAAATCAAGGATAAAGGATTTCATGCACTAAAACATGAAAACATTTATAAATAATAATCTCTTGGTTTAATATTACTGTAAAATGATTTTTAAAATGTCATTCAATGTTTAGAACTTTAATAACTTTAATATATATATATATATATATAGTAAATACCAATAATAGATAAGTCAGCAAATGTTTCTATCTGCTCATGAATATAAAGTCTCTGTACATCTGTTTTCAGAAGCGGTGTCCCGGCCTGTGACGTCACGCTCCACGTGCAGTGTGTCCGCAGGCGGAGGAATCTCCTGATGAGCCTCGTCATGCATCGCGCTCAGGTGACCGTCCGCGGAAATAGTGCGCGCGCAGCGGTCAGCACAGCGTCGCGAGCCCAGTTCAGTCAGATAGTGTGTTGAGCTCGAGTCCGCGACGCACGGGCTCAGGCATGCCCGAACCAACACAGTAAATGGCGTATTTTAAAACGGATTTATACCAGCGTCTGCTGCTTTTTGCAGTATTTCTACCAATCTCAGGTAAGGCCGTTTATTACGGTAATTATTCAAACAGGAGTCAGTTAAACTGAAATGACAGGATGCCTCATGATGAATTAAATGCGCAGGATGAAGAAAGCCTCAACTTTTATACAGAAAACATTGTGTTTTCAGTTAGATATATTATATGTTCATAAGTTTTCGATTTCTAAGTGAAAGGTCAGAGTTTCAGAAGTTCACTGATTGATAACGTTCATTGATTTGATACAATCAAGCGCGCGGAACACAGTGTAACTAACTTCAAAGCAGATCATGCAAAACGTGTTAAAGTCTCATAATAACACACACATATACTTGAAGTAGCCTAGTATCTTTTAAATATCATCAATCTATGTCATTCAGGCATTATATTTGCATGGCAAAATGCTTAATGCACTTTCAAATATTCGGGTAGTATCATGAAACTTTTATGCATATTCAAAGAGGAATGTTTATGAACTACATATATGTTAAGCAATCATGTGAAATATTTTTTAAAATGTACTAGTATTAACTCTCCTAGCTTACTTTCGTTTTATTAAATGCATAACAGATATTAGTCAGTCAGCATTTGAATAGTGAAACTTTTTATTCATATTTTAAACTTTTTCATGTTTGTGCAATGCAATATAACTGCTGATTTGTTGAGCATTTTATAATATGTGCAACATGTGCAAAGTTATTGTCACTATTTTTTCTTCTCTCTTTAGTTCTCTTTACGCTCAAAAATAGCATTTTGAAGCTCTTTTATAACTCACAAAGAGCATTTCTCTCACATGTATCTCATAACAATACTGTGCATGTTCATTTTTCTTTTCTATCTTTGATAAAGTGTTTTGCTCAGTTGTTCTCCTGCTGCTCA